TAGCCTGTCAGATTGAAGAGGAACCAATGATTAGGCATCGAACGTTGGTTGAGAAGATACTGTTCCATGTATTGAGCTAGAAAAAGTGGATCCTGCCTGTTTAGAGCTTTGATCTGAGCTCTGCCTTGGAGCAGGAAGGTTTAAAAATAAATGTATTTATTTAAAAATAATTTCTCTGATTGTGAAAGTAGTATATCTTCTTTATTCAGCAGATATTTATTTAGAACCTCTGTGTGCCAGAATATGTTTTAGGTCAGGGGGATTTTGGTGAATTAATCCTTGCTGTTATACTGTTTGCATCTGTGGTTGTGTGTATGTGTGCCTTTGTGTTGGGGCATGTTTTATGTAGAAAATAAAATAGTATTTTAAGACTCCCACTGTTATCATCTTAGGGTAGTCTTCCTATTTTTTAATGTGCAAATAAATTTCTTGATACAGTATATACACACAGTGAATTGTGTATGTTATTGCTTTACTCAACTATATATGGTTGAGACCATATATATCATATATGATTCTATATCTCACTTTTTTTTGATTAATACAATATTATGAGTATTTTCTCATGTTATTCAATATTCTTTGACCTAGATGTCTAATCCATTATAGATAAGAATTCATTCATTCCTCAGTTAATAGACATTTAGGACATTTATCTTGCTATTATAACTAATGCTGCAGTGAGTACCTTTGCACCTCATCTTTATTCTCATTTAAATAAGTTTCTAGATTTTTCAAACAAGATTGAAAAAACTTTGGCTAGTTTAAGTCCTGATCTAGACTGTCACCTGTACTGTTTGACCCACTGGCAGGGAGCATAACATTTTTCTTCTTAACTTTGTAGGAGGCAAAGAAGATAAAAAAGTCTTCCCCTTCACATGCTTGCTTTTAGCTTTTATTTGTGCATGTTGAGTATTACTGTTCCTGTGGCTGTGTCGCAAAGGCTTCCCAAGACTTGTTTCTGATCAACTGATTGCAGCATACCAGAAGCTAGTGTTGAAATACATTTTTTTCAGACATTAACTCTCAGGTCTCACCAGGCTCGTGCCAAACTGTGCATATTAAATATATCCCTACCTTGGAAGCATTTCTACGAGGAAATTGAATAGTGGCAGCATTAGAATCACAGACACAACTCTCTGGCCTGCTGTAATTGAAGGATTTAGTATGTCACTGCTGGTAGCGCTGAGAGTTAAATTGAAATAGCGCGGACTCTTGATCTGCACTGCGGGTAAGAGTGGGCTTGTGTTTGTTCTTGGGAGCACCGTGAGCTGGCACTTTGGAGATAGCCCGATTAAAAGGATGGTCAGATTTATGTATTTCTGGGCTCTTGAGTAGGTACAATAGGTTAAGAAAAGGGAGTTGTAAAAGCTGGCAGCTGAATATCACCCTTGAGAGTTGAACTGTAGTTAACTTTATTTTTAATACAAGAAAGTTATTTCATTTGAGAACTGGAACATGCTCAGGATGTAGGTAAAGAGCAATAATGATTTTACAGTCTCAAGACAATAGCTAGAGGGAACTGGGAAGAACTAAATGAACAGTCTGGAGTTTAGCATATAAAGTTAATCACATTGGAGAGGCACAGAAATGCAGACTCTTGGCTCTGGTCCTGTCAGGTAGCCATGCTTAAATTCTTCCAGAAAAGGTGAACAAGTCAACTTTTCTGGGTTGCTTATGGCTGTTATCTGTATAGGCAGACAACATTTCATAGATTTTCAACAACAGTAAGAACTGTAGGACTTGGTAATATTAGCTGTATCTTGTGTACTTTCTTCAAGTATATTTTTTAATTTCTGAGTTTCCTAGAAAATCCTGAAGAGAAAATTGACTCTTTGAGAGGTTGTTTGATTTACTTACAGTCATGAAATAGATACCAACTCTTCTCTGATTCTTTTTTTTTTTTTAATATTTGGAATAGCTCTTTTACATGCCTTGGGGGTGGTGGTTTAGTTGCTAATTTGTGTCTGACTCTTGCGACCCCATGGACTGTAGCCTGCCAGGCTCCTCTATCCAGTGGATTCTCTAGGCAAGAGTACTGGAGTGGGCTGCCATTTCCTTCTCCCCAACTCTCCTGATTCTTAACCCAGTGAGTCCTTTCCACTTCACTTTGAGGCTATGCAGACGTATGTCTACATCAATAATATATTCCTGACATTCAGGTATTCTACACAGAAATACCAGCCAGGAGACTATTTTCTACAATTTTAAATAGTAAAAATTAAAATGTATCACATGCCAGTTTAAAACTTCATGCCAATTTCCTAAGTATTAATTGTTCAGTCGCACAGTTGTGTCTGACTTTTTGCAACCCCGTGGACTGCAGCACCCCAGGCTTCCCTGTCCTTCACTATCTCCTGGAGTTTGCTCAAACTCATGTCCATTGAGTTGATGATGCCATTCAACCATCTCATCCTCTGTTGCCCCTTCTTTTCCTAAATAATGAATACAGCAAAATGCCCAGATATAAATAACAAGTATATTGGATGTTAGATGCTAAAAGCTAAATCCAAATAGTTCTTCTTTTCAAATAGTTAATATAGTTGGTAGGAAATTTTCTTTGTATGCAGTAGTATATGGCACATCCCCTTGGCCGCCACACTGCATTCTCTTCACAATGTTCACATAGAATTCTGATGTTCTGTCAAGAATGTAACTTTTCCTGCACATCACTTTGATTGAATTGCTCTGTTGACTTTTAGGTATGTGTGTGGATATTTTAGCATTATCTTTATAAGCAACTGATGGAAAATATGAATGTTTGGGTATCAGAAAAGCATAGGCTCTAGGCACATGGGCTTCAGTAGTTGCAGCTCGTGGGTCCTATCGTGTGGGCTCGGCAATTGTGGTGTTTGGGCTTAGCTGCTCCACGGCAGGTGGGATTTTCCTGGACCAGGGATCAAACCAGTGGCCCCTGCAATGGCAGGAAGATTCCTATTCTCTGCACTACCAGGGAAGTCCAAAATACATTTTTAAAGTAAAACACTTTTACTTTATTCTTTCTTCATATTCTTGCAAGTTAGAAACCTTTTTTTTTTAAAATAATTGTATGCATAAGCATGTCATGACTTTGAATTTCATTTCAGTGAAAGAAGAGGTAAGAACAAAATATTTGTTTAAAAAGGGTGTATGTTGGTCCTGAGATCTGATTTCACCTGACTTAAAACTCTAATAGGCAGCCTGCTTCTAGCTCATGGATGTTGGTAGAAGACACAATATTCTTGGGACAGGGACAGGGCCCCTTCAAAGTTAGATGCTCCAGATGTTTCTTATTTTCTTACAAAACCTGTATGAAATAGATTTAAAATTTTTTCTATTTATACTTTTTTTTATAGAGTCAGAACAGACTTAAGCAATTATGCAACTTGTCTAAGCTTTGCCCAGCTAGTAAGTGGCAGAGCCAAGACTGGAACCAGTTTCTCTGAGCCCAGTTCTTTTACCTGTATGTATTGTAGTATACAATTCTCTTAGATCTCAGATTGTTGGGGGAAGAGATCTGTACATATCTTTAGATTAAGATTTTAAATTTTGTGTATTTTGCAATGTATTCTTACTGATTTCTAGTTTTTTAATATATCAGTTTCTGATGGAAATATTAAAAAGCAGTTGTTTGTGGAATTTGTCCATTGATCTATATAATTCTGACTTTCAAGTTTATACATTTCAAAACTATTATGTATTTACAAGCTATATATAACTATAAATTATGTAATTATAAAAATTAAAATTATATAAGTATCAAAACAAAAGAAAGTGAAGTCGCTCATTCGTGTCCAACTTTTTGCAACCCCATAGACTGTAGCCTGTCAGACTCTTCTGTCCATGGCAAGAATACTGGAGTGGGTTGCCGTTTCTTCGTCTAGGGGATCTTCCTGACCCAGGGATCGAACCTGGGTCTCCTGCACTGCAGGTAGACGACCGTTGGAGCTACCAGGGAAGCCAAAAACAGAAGTATATATAATTTGCATAGCTCAAAGATACATGGGTTTAGGCCAGTTATTCTTCCTAACAAGCTGTTTTCCCTCCTTATCATTTTGTCCACTTATTTGTGTTTATGTACTATTGATATTATTATATGAGCTATTTGAGAGCTGCTATTTGTCAGATGCATCTTTTTTTTCATCTCCTTATTTTCAGTGTTCCTGATTGGTTTTGTCTTAGGTGTGTTTCTTGCAAGAACTATTTAGCCATAGTTTGGGTTTTTCTTTTTTTTTTAAATCCAGCCTGGTAAGTCCTGCCTTTTCAAAACTCGCCCCCTATAATCTGTCAGAAGCTGCATTTTGTTTCGTATTTTGATATCACGGAAGTGCGCTTGTTGGCGCTCTGTGTGCGTGTTAACTCACGCTGTCTGCTGTTGGTGGTGGCCCCTTCCCCGGTGTGCATCTCTTGGCTCTCGTGACTCACCCCTGAAAGTGCCCCACGTCAGCAGGAGCTAAGCTGCAGGACTTGCTGTGTTTCGCCTTTGGCAGCCTCAGTGTTTCCTTCTGCGCTTAGTCGCTCAGTCATCTCTGACTCTTTGCGACCCTTGGACCATAGCCCACCAGGCTCCTCTGTCCATGGGGGTTCTCCAGGCAAGAATACTGGAGTGGGTTGCCATGCCCTCCTCCAGGGGATCTTGGCAACTCAGGGATGGAACCCAAGTCTCCCGCATTGCAGGTGGATTCCTTACCAGCTGAGCCGCCAGGGAAGCCCAAGAATACTGGAGTGGGCAGCCTGTCCCTTCTCCAGGGGATCCTCCCAACCCAGGAATCAGAGTGGGGTCTCCTGCCTTGCAGGCAGAGTCTTCACCAGCTGAGCCGCCAGGGAAGCCCTGGCAGCCTTTCCTTACTAGGTCATTATTTGTCGTGTTTTCTCCATCAACAAAAGTGCACCTCGCGTCCTGCAGAAACTCCGGAGATGCCAGTGGGGCAGCCAGCGGCGGCGGCCCGTCTCGGGCAGAGGCGGCAGTCTGTGCGGTCTGCCGCCGCCGCCCCGTAACCCTGCGGTTCTGCTCCCTGCAGTGCGGCTTCCTGCTGTGGTGCATGGCTCCCAGCCCTGCCAACGGGGCAGACCTGCTCTACAAGCGCGTCATCCGGCCCTTCTTCCTGAAGCACGAGTCCCAAGTGGACAGTGTGGTGAGTGACCTGAAGGACAGAGCCAAAGAGACTGCAGACGCCATCTCTAAGGAAGGTATGGCCAGGGGGCAGCCTGGCTCAGTGTGCGGGAGGCTGGGGTCACACTGGCCCAGAGGGCGGGCCTCCTCACTTCACTCCTGTGGCTTTCCTCAGCCCCGAGCCAAGCCTGTTCTGGGATTTCTCCACCAAGGCTTTGCCTGTTGTCTTTACCGTTCCCAACAATCTTCTGCCATTGCCACGTATAACACATCATTCAGTCAGCACATTAGGAAAAGCGACTTTCCTGTGGTGGGTGGAGATTTTAGGGGTCATCTGTATTTATATACAAGTCCAGTCTCTAATTCATTTCAGGTTGAACTGCTTGTTATGCTGCTGTTCAAATGGCTTTTGTTAGAGGTGCGAAAGAATGCCCTCTCTCTCAGCCTTTCTCATCCATTCATTCAACAAATACTTGTTTATTGAGGTGACCTAATTATGTGCCAAGTATGTTCATAGCACTGGGCATGAACCAGGGAACCAAACCGACCAGCAGACCATACCGCATGAAGCCATGAAGCTTACAGTCTTGTTGAGAGAGACAGAGAGAATACAGTGAAAAAGCAAGTTATGTGGTGTAGTCACACATGCATAGCACATGATGCAGAGAAGAATAAAACAGATTGAAAGATGGGGAGTGCTCAGGGGCTGGAGAGAAGGTGACAGTGATATAGGAAATCCTCACAAAGGAGGCAATACTGCGTCACATTTGAAAGTGTTAAGGGAAGGAACCATGGGTAAGAGAGCCGCAGTAGGAGAACTAGCATGTGCAGAAGCCGGGAGCGGGGAATGCAGGACTGGCAGGGGGTGGCCTGGAGGGCGCTGAAGGAGGCCAAGCGCAGGGCAGCTAGAGCGGAGCATCCTACTTACTGGAGGGGACCCAAGCGGCTGGGATATTGGAAGAATACTGAAATCACTGATAATTCAGGTAACAGCAGTGCTCAAGAGTGATTTTAAGTTTGGAGCTAAAATCTTAAAGAAATGAGGCAGCACAGCCCAAGGGTCAGAGAGAATTGGAAAAAAGATGGGCGGCTGGGAAAGGTCGTCTGATGCCATGAGATTCCGAACACAGCCATGAGCATCAAAGACAGTGCTTCCTGGACCTCCAGACCCAGCAGCACTAGGGTCATGGAAGGGAAACACATAGGACACTTGAGAAGGCAGTGTCCTGGGGGCAGGCAGGCTCTGTAAGAGCAACAGGAAGAAGCCATTTGGAGAAACAGGTGAGGATGGAGGTCTTCCTGATGATGGGTCGGAAGTTCCAGAGGGCACAGTAAGGGTTTTAGACCGTAGACAATGGGCATAGAACTAGGGAATTAAAAAAAAAAAAGGGTTCTACGCTCCCGACGAAGTGGGAGACGAGAGGTGAGCTGGCCTCTGGGGGAGGAAGACCCCCAGATGGTCCCCTGCAGCCCTGCTGCCCCAGCCAGTGTGTGCTCCCCTCCCCCTCTCAGACCACGTCCTCCCCAAGCCCTGCTCCCGGACACGGCTCCAGCCTCCCTTCAGGACGCCTCTACGTTTCTGCACACCCTCCCGCTCTGGGATCGCCAGTTCCTTCTGAAGAGATTTCTTAACTGTTCCTCTCTGCTCTTAACCAAACCAGCAACCTCTGGTGATGTCATTTCTGTCTCGTTTACCCACATTTTCCAGCCTTTGATTCTCTTAGATCTCAGTACTCTAAACTCCTGTTTTACTTTGATAGGTTACATTCATAAACTGAGGTGTAAGAATGAAAATAAGAGGGATTTTGAGGCTGACACATTTTAGACTCTGAGTTTCTGGATTCTCCAGGAAGTACATTTTTGCAGAGAGCTAGTTGAGAGCCTGCAGTGTCTGTGTAAACTTTAATCCACAGTTTTAAGTGAATGGAGAACAGCCGTTAGGCAGCTGGTGCACAAGGAGGGCAGCCTTGCCTGGCACCCGCTCGGGGCTCCCCCGAGAGCAGCTGCGGTTTGGAATCTCAGGGGGCCTCAAGGCTCCCAGAGCCCTCCCTGCGGCCCGTCAGACACATCACGCGAGTTCTTACAGCACACTCCAAGCCGAGTGGTAATTAGGAAGAGCAGGTAGGGCCTGGACTTTCCTGCCTGTACAGAGGACAGTACGCGGTCAAGGAGTCTCTGCTGCTTGCGATACTTGGAGGAGGACAGAGCTCAGGCAACACGGCCACTCCCAGGGGTTGGGTCTTCAGGGACTGCTCACGTGCTCAGGGGCTGCGCTGGAAGAGTTCTGGTGTCCGTCCCCTGGAGACTCGGCTAGCCCCGCCCAGAAGCCTCCAGGTTCTCCTCTGGGCCTGAGTCATCCACGGGGTTAGCTACGATAGTAGCTACATTAGGCGCAGAGCTGGGTTACACATAGCTGTGATATATTTTCCTTTTCCTTCTAACAGCCAAGAAAGCTGCCGTGAATTTACTGGGTGAGGAAAAGAAGAGCACCTAAGCCACTGACTGGATGAAACCTTTCTGGCCTCTCGGTACCTTCCTATTAGAGCTTGACATTATATTAGGAACTGTGGCATATAGTCATTTTAATAATGTTGCCTTGGAAACATTTTTGATATATTAAAAAGAGGAATGTGTTGTAAGGTTTTTTGCTTACTTTTACTGTTTATATACTTAGGAAGCAGTTACATTTAATGCAATCGGCAGTGTCCAAGTTTTCAGAAAATATATTATGCCTCTGGGTAGGAAAAGACCTATGTTACCATACTGTAGGAAATATAAACTTAAAATTATATACCCCACAGGCTTTGTACTTCAGTGGGCTCTCTCTGCATGCCTTTTCTCTGTACTTACATTTTAGGATACTCTTTAAGAGTAAATGTTTAAATGTTTTTAACCTATCTGTGCATACACACATGTAGGGAAATGTTACTGTCTATAGCCTGCATATTGCTCATGGGGAGCACCAGCCAAAGGTTGAGGGTTCCATTGTGTTGGTGTGATCTGCTGAATAATACTTGAGAAAATTAATACAAATGAGCAGTGTTTCAAAGGAACAGTTAAGTGATAAATGAGGCAGAAGAGAGGTTGGCCTGGTGGTTTCCTAACATTGTAGCAGCTGAATACCAGAACAACTTTGTAAAGCAGTCAGCTAAGTGATAAATGGGGAAATGTACACACACATCACAGTTCCCAATTCTGAAGAACTAGTAATATTGTCTTGTAGCTTTAAAAAAAAAACTGGCTAATAAGCTTTGTTATGGAAATCATCCCTGGTTTCACTTTCATAGCTGAGTAACATGTTGGTTTAGTCTTGTTTCTTTTCCAGTCTTTTTAAAAACTTCTACTTTAAGGAACCTCTAGAGACTTGCCCACCTCTAATTACATGTACATTCTTGTTTATATCATTAGCAACTACATGCTAATGGTGACACCAGGCTCTAAGAGCAATTCTCAGAGAAGTACGATATACTGCACAGTCTAGTTGGTAGTGGTTAAGACAAACACCTTTACCTTCTTGCCCTGGACTTTAAGGTCAAACAACAGAGGCTTCCCTAGTTTACAAGTCAGAACCGTTTGTAGTCCATTTACATGCTTTCATCTATGTGCTTTGTTTTGATGATAAACTATCAGGTTATATGCAGTTTAAGTACAAAATAAAAAGTTAAAATTAATGTTACTAGTTTGATTAGCCAAGTGGCTTATAGGGACCTGACAACTTGTCCATACTAGAGAATCTAAGCTTTGCACTTACATACTGCTAGGATCCTTCTTAGACTAAACTGACTAAAACAAAAGCATTACAAAACTAACAACCAGGCCTATAAAATATTTTAAGGCAAATAAAGATGATTAGTTCCCTTTTAGATAACAATTAGGTAAAGTCATAATGATGTGTCACAGTGTTAAAAAAAAACAATGTCAAAGGTATCAAAAAATAAGAAACAATATCACCCCAATATAACAATATGGATCAGGGCCTTTTTGGGGAGAGAGGAATGTGATGATGATAAAGCACCTTATTAAGCTTATGTTAAAACATAACAACTTTCAGAAAGCAAACAGCTACTTGTTATTGGAAGAAAATCAAGCCTTAGGTTAAAAAGTTTTAGAAGTACCTCTGGGAGTATTTAAATCCCTTTCCCTATAAATCAAGTATGCTCTTCTTGGTGGTAAAAGAATGAAAATTAGCAACTTCTAGCATTCAGACTATATAATCAGACTGTTAGTATACAGAATATGTCACTTTTAGTATACAAAATATCAGGCAAGATGGTGAAGCATGAAAGTTACTATTGCTTATAACTACTTACAGGCTAATATCAGTTTAGACAGAAATTTCTGAATGCAATTTTTTTTTTTATTACTATAGGTTTATCTTGCAGTACATTCTGTAAGAAATTTTAGTTACTCTTTTTGGCAGTCAGCATGTACATATTAATGACAGGAGAAGCTATGAGTTGAGCAATTCTTGTCTCAGTTTAGATTTCCCAAAAAACATACTGCTGTGGCTAGAGTGTTTGAAAAATTAATTGAGCCTGTGTTCAGCTGTAAGACAAATATTTATTTGTACATGAATGGTATTTTGGGGATATGTGAAGGCAAAGAATTCCTACAACAAGACAGTTACTGCTACCCTGGGGAGTCTTCTACCCACAGCCTGAAGAATATGAGCATAACCTTTAGATAAGTTACCACCTATCCTGAAGATGTGATATATTAAATGGAAATAGATGTAAATAAAATTTTGTTATCTCATTGAGCTTTTATAGTTCATTTTCTCTTATGGGGCTTAAAAGAAAATGTAAGAAAAACCTTAATACAGATAAATAAACCTTTAACACTGCTGTTGACTGACCCTGTTTCTCTCCTGGCCATGGTGGTAACTACCTGTCAGAGCAAAGACTTTCCCTACGAACAGGCAGGGGTGTGTTTGCACATGGCTTATTCCTGTTGTTGTACACCTGTAGAGCAGAGACTGACACGACATTGTGAAGCAGTTACACTTCAATTAAAAAAATACACAAATTTTTAAAAGCCAGGGGCAAAAAAAAACAGTCAAAAAGTTTCTACTAATCGTTAGCAGTAAATGGAGAGGAAGCCTAAACTCTTCTGGACCTTTGAACAAAGGTTTGAACTGCATGGGCTCACTTACAGATTTTTTTCAATAAGCACGTACTACACAATCTGCGGTTGATTGAATACCCGGATGCTGCAAACTTACCGCCGAATAGTTGACTGAGAGGGAGTCAGCTCTAATGCTGGCATAATGCATTACACACAGTCTCACACAGCTACTAGTTGGTGCTGTTATTTCGTATATTTTAATATAGTAAACACAGATGCCTCAAAATCACTCTATATTTTTAGACTTAAGAAAAGAAGAACTGGGGATTTTATTGAAAATACCTACTTTGGAGAGTGTACTTTGGTCAGCATCCTCGCCTACATCTGCCTTTACATGTCTGTATGTCTAGAATCATGGTGTTTTATAGAGTAATAGATACAATTCACATCCTTAACCAAATATTAGTTCTGTATGATACACCAGGAGAAAGTAAATATAGCTGAGAATGACCTTAAGTTTTTCGGGATGCTTACTACAGTATTAGCTTATAAAATATGTAACACACGCCTCAGAGAATTAAGAGCAATAAAGAGGTTCTTTGGTCAAATCAGAGGTTCTCAAATGTTAGTGTGCATCAGGATTTCTTTGAGGAGGGCAGGAATTGGTAAAAGATTGCTGGTCTCATCCTTGATTCAGGAAGTCTGGGGTGGGGCTGAAACATTTGTATTTGGAACAAGATCCCAGGTGATGCTAATGATACAGAAACCACACTTTGACAAGAAATCGCTGTTAGGTTAATGGTTTCTTTACACTTAGTATAGAGGTTTTCAAGCCTGGCTGTCCATTACCATCATCTGAGCAGCTTTCAGAAAATACTAGTGTTTGCCTCCACTACCAGAAATTTTAATCATCCACTATATACCCAGGTGCCAGTATTTTAAAACTCTTCCAATGTATAACCAGGATTAAGAATGTGAAATGAAATTCATGTTTTGGCGAGAAAAATTTAAACAAAAAATTCTTTGCCCTTTGGCCTTCCCTCGCCCTCCAACTTGAGCTTCCGTGATATCTCAGATGGTAAAGAATCCACCAGCAATGCAGGAGACCCCTGTTCGATTCTTGGGTTGGAAAGATCCGCTGGAGAAGGGATAGGCTACCCACTCCAGTATTCTTGGGCTTCCCCTGTGGCTCAGCTGGTAAAGAATCTGCCTGCAATGTGGGAGACCTGGGTTTGATCCCTGGGTTGGGAAGATGGAAAGGCACCAGTATTCTGGCCTGGAGAATTCCATGGACTGCATAGTCCATGCGGAGAAGGTAATGGCAACCCACTCCAGTACTCTTGCCTTGAAAACCCCATGGACGGAGGAGCCTGTTGGGCTGCAGTCCACAGGGTCCTGAAGAGATGGCAGGGTCCCCTGCCATCAGGGACTGGGGGCTTAGATGGGAGAAGCAGGTGAGCGTTTTCTCACCTCTGGGGCTGCAGCCTGCTTGCCCCTGGCTGGCTCAGTGCTGGGGGTGGGCAGTGAACACGGGAGGGGTGTGGATCAGGCCTTTCGGGCAGGCGTGGAACAACTGGCAGCCTCGTCCAGCTTGGGAAGAGGACCCCTGCCGATCGCCTGGATGCCAAGGGGAGGCTCATCTGGGTGGACTTCACAGAAGGACAGGCTGCGTCGCAGGGGTAGGACGTTGAGCCTGCCCTTGAGTTCTCTGGTTGTGAGTGCCCAGCGACTCTTGGAATGATTTGCCCAAAGTCACAGCACAAATCCTTGGCACAGGCAGGATCAGCCCAGAGGCTCTTGGCCGGGCAGCCTCCTCCCAGGTCCAGCGAGCACCGGCCCCTGGTCAGGGAAGGGTGGACCCTTTGCACGGCCGCACAGGACATGTGTTGATGGGCCCAGTGGACTCCAGGGAGTGGGAGATGGAGAGAGGCAGCCAGCCTGGGGCTGTGGCCTTCCCGGAGAAGCGTCCTCCTCCTTGTTTTTCACGAGCGGCAACAGGTAGATCACAGCTCAGACCCACTGCATGGACTTCCCCAAGGAAAGGGAAGCTGAGGCCTCTGGTTTCCTTGGGGTCACACTTTTGGGAGGGGCAGCTGCACACCTGGTGGGGCTTGAGGCTATCGGTAAGAGAAACGGGCCAGGCCGGGGTGTAGGGGCTGGGAGGGAAGAGATGGGGAACCGTTTACTTGCTCTGCTCAGCCACCAACGACCTGACCTGGGACGGCCTGCTCCCAGGGTCCCCGAGGACCGGCCCACAGCAGCCATTGAGAAGGACAGATGTGGGCGTACCCAGGCACTCACACACACACACATAACCACACACAACTGAGTGACTTCACCTTCACGCATTGGAGAAGGAAATGGCAACCCGCTCCAGTGTTCTTGCCTGGAGAATCCCAGGGATGGCAGAGCCTGGTGGGCTGCTGTCTA